GAGAAGAAGGGACGACAGCGACGACGACGACCACGACGACGAGGAGGAGGAAGAGGAGGCAGAGGAAGAGGAAGACGATAGGGGGCAAGCATGAGGGCAAGGACGATGAGGAGGAGGACCAGGAGGAGGAGGAGGAGGACATCGAGGACGAGGAGCCCTCTTGGGATTCTGTTTGGGGGGCAGTGGGGTTCACTTGGGGCTCTTTTAGAGAGTCTTGGGCCCTCTTGGAGCTCTCTTGGGCCTCTCTTTGGGGCCACTTGAGAGTCCTGGCTGGAGGGCCTCTCGAAGCTATCGTGGAGGGCGTCTGTGAAAAGAGGAGGGGCTTTAACGTTTGGTGCCACCCTGAAGCCATCAATATCGTCTCTTGGGGCCATCTCGGGAGGCTGCTGGGCCGCTCTTTGTCGCTCTTGGGGCCGTCTGGGGGGCCTCCCGGGCCCTTCTTGAACCTCTCGTGGGCTATCGTGGGGCCATCTAGAGGCCTTACAAGCGCATCGGAAGCGAAACGGCGAGAAGGCGGCAATCATGGATTTCAGGTCTTCGATTTGTCTGGACCTGTGGAGGGGTCTTGAGGTGGCCCGAGAGCACTTGAGACAGTCTTGTTATCTTGAGGCATCTTGGTGGCCATCTTGGAGCATCCTGGGCACCCTGACCGACCGCGACTCCCCCCCCAAGATAAAAACATTCAGGGGGGAGGTCATTCTCCATGAAGGAACGTTTTTTTGAAGCAATAACGAAGCCGTTTGACCAGCCCAGAAGGCCAGGTGGATTCTCGTTCGGACTGAATGTGTCGAATTGCTCGATTTGTTGCGAAATTGGTACTTGCCCCACTCGTTCTCTGGAAAACGCTGAGCATTTATCCAGGAGGAGGAAGGAGGATATGGAGGAGGAAGAGGATGAGAAAGCGAACGGAGTAGGAGTATGCGTCCAATGATGAGGAGTAGGAGCAGGGGGAGAGGACGGTGAGGAAGGAAGGAGGGAGGAAAAGGGAGGAGGAGAAAGAGGATGACGCAGGACGGAGGAGAGGGAGGAGGAGGAGGAGGAGGAGGAGGAGGAGGAGAAGGATGAGGCGGAGTCAGAGAAGGATATTGAGGAGGACGAGGATCAGATGACGAAGGTTGAGGCAGGAGGGAGGGGGGCGGGAGGGAGCAGAAGGGAGGAAGGGGGAGGGAGGAAGCGGAGGAGGGCGGAGGGGTGGCGGAGGAGGGGTGTTGGAGGAGGGCGGAGGAGGAGGTGGAGGAGGAGTAGGGCGGCGGAGCCCCCCCCTGGGCAGGTGGCGCCGAGAAGGATTAGGAGGCTGAGGGCAAGGATGAGCAGTGAGGGAGGAGGAGGAGGAGGAGGAGGAGCAAGAGCAGGAGCAAGTGGAGGAGAGGAGGAGGAGGAGGGACAGTTGGCGGCGGCGGTAGGTGGGCCAGACGTGGCAGCGGCGGCGTTAGTGTGGCCGAGCGCGGCGGCGGCGGCGCGCGGCCAGAGCGCGGCTGGCGCGGACTTTCCCACACGCCTGGCCCCGGTGGCCACCTGCTCCAAAGTTGGCCGGGTACAGGGGGCAGGAGGAGGAGTAGGGCGGAGGAGGAGGGGGAAGAGGAGGAGAAGGGCCCTAAGGGGCGGAGGAGGAGGAGGAGGAGGAGGCAGAGGAGGAGGAGGAGGAGGAGGCAGAGGAGGAGGAGAGGGCAGAGGACGGTTTGGGACTGTTTTTTCACCCAGAGGTCCATTCGGGAGACGCTCCCAAGGCAAGGCGCAACCACCCCGCACTCGGAGCTGACGCCCCGAATGCGACATGGCCCCGCCCCGCCCTATAGGTGCGTCACCCTCCTGGGGACTGGGAAGAATACTACTTTCCTCGCAGACCATCCCACCTCAGCCACTTCGCCGCTAGGCTGAAAAACTCGGTAGGCGACTGACGGCCTCGCTCACTCGCAACTCTGGCGCACGAATGATCGCCTTCGGCGCCCCCTCACGACGGGGGAAACGACCTCGTCAAATGCGGGCGAGATTTTCCACGCCCTTCTGGTCGGCAGTCCCGGGCACACGCGGACCATGTGGCTGGGGTCGCTGCCTGTGGTGTAACGTCCACACCAGTGGCAACAAATCATTGCGAATTCAGGCCAGAACGCGAGCCAGTGAGATCCGTCAAGCTGCTCAGCGGCGCCGCCCTCGGCGGCAAGACACGGCGCAATACGACCTCCATTCAGTGCCTGCGCCAGACTCCCTGTTAGAATCGGCCCTCGGCACTCCGTGCCGCAAAACTGCAACAGCTGGTGCGAGCGTACCATGCGGTGGCAGCGCACGCACGTCCAACGCTCGCCGCAAAGTCGCAACTCATGATCGGACAGCTGGATACCGAGTCGGGCTGGAGTGCGGGCTGGACGCCGAGAGCCCGCCGGCCGCTTGCCCTGCTCCCCGTCCGCTGCGCTCGCCAACTCCAGCGCCTTCCTCGCCCGGCGGCGCACCAGCGACGCAATCGCGTCGATCTCATCGGTGCGCGGCGCGGTGCCGTTGAGCCCCGCGCGCCGGCCACCTTCCGCGGCGGCGCCTGCCAGCACGTCCGCCGAGGCACTGGCCAGCGCCAGGAAGAAGTCGCGCTCGGAGGTGAGCAGGTGGACGTGCTCCTCCGTGTGCGACGCCACCCACTCCACCTGCACCTCACCAGGACCTCGCGCCGCGAAGGCGGCCCAACCCTTTGCCACAGGTTCTCATTCGCGAGCCCCGCCTGACCAGCGCCCTCCAGCCTCCCGCGCCACGCGCGGAGCAACGGCTGGTGGTCCGTGACGATCCGCACGTTGTCCGTGGTCTCTTAGAGCGCCAGCACGAAGGCGAAGATCTCCGCTCGGGGCACCGTCTGGCGACGACCTGCCAGCGGAAGTGCTCGGCCCCAAGCTGGAACCCAGACGCCCTCGGGGCCCCGCTGCATGATCACGATGGCCATCCCGCATCGGCGTCGGCGCGGATCTGAGGAGAAAATGCCGCCCGAGTCGTCGCCGAAGACAGTGAGGAAGCCAAGGGCGTTTCGCAGCTCGTCGGGGTCGCCGCCGAAACTGGCCGCAGCCCCCTGCGCCAACTCGTCGTCGTAGCGCGGCGTGGTGAGCACTGCCGGCGCGACGCCCCGCAGCCACAGGGCGGGCTGCGCCTCGATCTCCGCGTTTGCCCGCGGGAGAAGCCATCCCGACTTCTCGAAAGACTCATCACCCACAATGGCCGAGCACAGCCAGACCCTGTGAACCAGGGTCTCGCGGCACCGCCCGCATCGGTTGCAGATCTCGCCAGGCAGCACATGGCCCGCATCCGCCCTGCGGGCCCTGGGCCACCTGCCCGCCAGCGACCACCCAGAGGTTGAGCCCCCACTCCGACAGCAAGCCCTGGGCCTCCATGCGCCGCATCTCGCCTGCGATCTGCCAGAAGTCCGCGCCCTCCAGCAAAGCCTCCCCCGCCCCGTGCGCCGAGGCCTGCCTCCACAGCTGTGCCCGAAGATCTGCCTCCGCGTCGTCCAGCACGGCTTGGCACTCCGCGCAAGCTTGAAACTCGGGGTCGTCAGCACTGGGCAAGAACCTTTCGTCATGGCCCTCGGGCGTGGGCCGTATCCACCACGTGGCAGATGTGGGCGGCCAGCCGAGGTCCATCAAGGTGGCTTGCAGCGCGCTGAGCGGCCCCCGGACCCTCTGCCATCGGCGATCCCCAGCCCGCAGAAGTGCGCTCCGCTCCGAATGCGCCCGTGGAGCTGGGGCGCTGAGAACCAGAGGTCACGCCACGACTCTACGACCTGCTTGCGCCGCACCACGTGCGGGTCCATGAGCCCCATCGTCGCCGCCAGGACCGAGGTCAGACATCTCCCTCTGGCGGAACCGCCCACCGCCTGGGTGGCCTGCCGCCGCAACGCCAGGACGCGGCTCGGGGCCAGTCCGAAAATCTGGTGCCCATAGGCGGCCCGCGGGAGGGCTCCCGTCGACCAGAGGCCGCGGCACTCCTTGGTCAGCGCCGTCGCCCGGTGCAGGCGCATGATGCGCTGGAAGCGCCGCGCTCCGCCTCGCAGCCTCGTCGACGCCTTCCGGCACACTCGCCGCCTTCCCGCCGCCGCGTCGACGCCGAGGTCGACCGCCGATTGCACCACCTGGAACCGCGCGCCCAGCTGCTCCAAGGTCTTCGACACCTCGCCGGCCAGTTCCGCGTCCGTCGCCACTAGCTTCGTCTTGCCAGAGCAGACGAGCTCCTGCTCATGCAGGCCTTGCTTCAGGACCCCCGCGATCCGCGGCAGCTCGCCCCGCACTGCTGCACGGGAGCCCTCCACGCGAGCCACGCTGTTATCGATGAAGCTCCACAGCCCCGCTCGCGGGCACTGCACGTGCGCCCTCTGCAGGAGCGGGTGGAGATACAGCTTCCCCAGCGACACGCCGTGGCTGGAACCCGAGTCGCCTCGACCGCCATGGAGGCCCCATGATGACGGCCCCGCAAGAAGCGAGGCGCAAGGAACAGCTGCACCTCCAGGCCGACCACCACCGCAGGGTACTCGAACCTCTCCGCGATGGCCATCAGCTTGACCAGCGACACCAGGTCGTAGAACGTCTCCACGCCGCCACCCCCAGCTCCATGCCCGTCTCGTCCATGACCGCACGCCGCAGCGCCGCGCGCAGGGCGCTTGAGCCCCGGATGGCCGAGTCCCAGAAGGCACCCAGGCTTTCCGTCCAGGATGACGTGGCGGACGACCTCGCCCGAAACCACACTTTCGGCGGCAGCGGCAGCATGCCGATGATGCGCTCCCCGCGCGCACTCTTAGGCAGCGTAGCGCCGATGACGCCCAGAAGCTGCCTGGGCCAGCAGCCGCGCCGCTCGCACTCCACAAGCAGCTGACGCAGCTCCTCGCGTCCCTCAGGGGGCAGCCACGCCAGGTCGTTCGACCCGAGGCCGTCGACCCCTCGGGCATTCTTGGGCCACTGCGCACCCATCCGAGCACTCGAGGTGCAGCTCGGGAAGTGGATCCTCCCGGGCGCGGCCGAGAGTGGCCTGGAGGCCTGCCATCAGATCGCCCCAGGAGTCGGCTGGAGCGCGCCAGAGGCCGCCCCAGTGCTGCGCCTTCCTCGACATGACCTGACCAGGCTCTGCGATGACGCCACCGTCCACCACCAGCTCCGACGTCTCAGGACCAGGGCTGCGAACGTGCCGATGGATGAAGCCTGGGCTCTGCTTCCACACCTTTCGAGCCCAAGCCCCGAAATCGCGGCGGTTCTTCGCCAGCGAGCGGGCCTGGCTGGCGGAGAACAAGCGCTCGGTAACCCCCACCATCACCTCCAGCTCGTTCGAGGGGATCTCGCCCGCACCCCTCATCATCAGGGCCCAGGCCTCGTGCACCTCCGCACTGACCCCGCGGTTGAGATGCTCGGTGCAATCCAACATGATGCGATGAAGCAGCGCTGCCGCTGTTCCTCCGCCTTGCCGCTACCGCGCAGCAGCGCCAGCTGCCGCAGGAGCGCAAGGGTGACGCTCCAGTGCTCCGACGCCTGGTGCTTGAGGTGGGTACGTCCAGGTGCAGCCCGCAGCCTGACGCTCCTGAAGTCGTAGCCGCTGGCCCACCCGCAGTACGGCCGCCGCGCCGCCGCATCGCGGCACCCGTTGGCGTCCAGCAGAACCACATCCAGCTTGGAGACCCATTCCGCGTACATGCGGCTGACCCATTCCGCCTACATGCGACCCGCCTGCCGCATGAGGCGGTGCGTCTCGAGCTCACCCATCGCCGAGGAGCTGCACCTGCCAACTTCAAACTCCGAAGGGGCTGCCACAGCCCAGGCCTTGGCTGAGACGAAGAACCCCAGCTCGACCTCTGCACTCTTGGCCTCGTGCCGCGAAGCCAGCTCGATGACCACCACCCCGTCGTCCTGCTGCCCCTCAGGCCGGAGGAGCGCTGAGGGTCACCGTGAGGCCCCCGCCAGATGGCCCACCCGCTGCCGACGACGATACCCCCGACCCCCCCGCCGAGCGAGAGGAAGAGTGGTCAGCTCTCTCACCACGTCCAGAAGCGGCCTCGTCGCGACCCCGTTCACCTGGCAAGTCCACCTGCCACGCTTCTGGCCGGGTTAACGTCACCACACCAGCGCTGGACATTTCCCCCTCCCCGAAGAAATCATCCCCAGGGCCTTCGTCGTCGTGGTCCGCCAGCGTCTCCAATGCTGGCGCTGCCGCGGCGGCCGCCTCCTCTTCGAGGAGGCTCAGCTGCTCCACCTCCGCAGCCTGCTGCATGTCAACGAACGCCCCCTGCAGGCCACCAGGCAGCCTGCCACGCTTCCGCGCCAGGCTCACGGCCTTGCACTTCGACGACTTGCTGTCGGGGTCCGCCGCGCATTGGCCTCGGCGGCGAAGGGAGGGGCAGCGGAAGCGCCAGCTGTTCCTTGCTTGATCTGCAGGCTGAGCCCGCAGTGGACCCGCCACGGCACGTCCAGGACCGCGGTCAATTCGAACTGGCTCGAAAGCCCCCCGGAGACCAATCCGAAGTCGATGAGGCTGCTGCTGCCCTTGAAGCAGGTGGCCTCCGTGCCCCGAGGGAGCATGAGCTCTCCCCCGACCTTGCCGGGCAAGGACGTCGCCGCCATCTCATTGGGCGAAAGATTCCAGTCGGCGAGCACCACCCACGGGTCCGCCAGCCCCATCAAGAAGGCCCCCAGTGCCGCAAACCTGCGGCGGTTGGCCCCACGCACGCCGAGCCCAGGGAACCTGTAGGACATCACCACAGGGCCCCCCTGCTTCATGTGGAGGACCAGCGGCGCTAAGCCCAGCAGCGGGTCGTCGCCACTACCACTCGTCGCGCCTCGGAGGTGCGAGAAGGTCGTGGCTGCGATGTCGACCCGCGACGCCACCAGCTCGCCACCCTGGCCCCCGTCTCTGACCGGCCGAGGCCCAAGCAGGGGCGCCTGAGGCCTTCCAGCCGTCCTTCGCGAGACTCCCAACAGCCTCCACGTGCTTCGCGTCCGAGAGGTGCGTCTCCGCGCAGCCCACCACCGCACACTCCGTCGCATGCTCAACCATGCAGCGCTGCGCCTGCGGGCCCCAGCGCTCGACGTTACCGAAAAACACTTTGGGCCCCAAGGCAGACTGTCTGCTCGGCCCGCGCGGCCCCTCACAACGCTTAAGTCGGGCCCGTCCCTCTACAGGAGGAATATTCAAAAATTGTCAAAAAATGTCAGGGGACTATTTTTTGAGTATTTGTGTCACAATTTTGGAGTATAGTATTTTTATTTTTTCGTCGAAAATCCTCATGTGGGGTGACACGCCCGACTTCATGCCCACGCCGCCGCCTCCCCTCTTGCTGACGCATCTGCTGGGCAAGAGTCCGCGGCGAACTCCTGCACCTGTGCTGGCCCGGGGCCCACGGCCCCGCAGGGGTGATCACCCGCGCCGCCTCCCAGCGCCAGCATCGCCGCCAGCAGCAGCAGCAGGCGCCGCTGGAGTGCTCGCAGCCCCCTTCGTGGCGCTGTTCTGCCCCTGCTTCTCGGCATGGGCAAGCGCAGCCTTGTCCTTCGCCACGGCGAGTTCACGTGTGCTGGGCCAGCCGGTCGGCCGATGGCCCGGCAGCCCTTCCGCCTGGCGCAGCGGTCCCGGGGCCAGGCCTTGGCTCCTCCTTGCCCTTTTCGGCGCCCCCAGCGGCAGCAGGAGCTCGTTCCTCGGCAGGGGCGCCATCGTCGGCCGCGCCTTCCCCCGCGCGCCGCTGCTTGAAAGAGCGGGTCCGCGCCAGCCGGAGGAGGGCCCCCCCCTTCTCCTTGAGAGCCGCCACCTTGGCCCCATGGATGTCACACACCGTCGCCTGCGAGGCCGCGAAAGCCTGCTCCTGCGCCAGCCTGGCTTGCTTGCGCGCCAGCCTGTCCGCCCCGATCTGCTCGTAGGCCTCGCCCTGCTGCTCGTGGCATTGGTCCGTAGCTGCCTGACGCTCCGTGAACCCAGCACGGAACTGAGGTCCTCGTCGGCTTCCTCCAGGTACCCGAGCAGCTCGGAGTCGATCGCGAACACCATGCGCTGGGGCGGCGCAGGCGCAGCGGCCTCCGCAGGCGCCTTGGTGGTCTGCGCGACGGTCTCGGCTGCCAGCTCAACCTCCATGTTGGCCGACAGATGCACCGCGCTGAGCTCCTCGAGCTTCTCCTCCATGCGGCTGAGCATGGCCTGCATCGCCACCACCTGCTCGATCTGCTTTTCGACGGCCCTCTTGGCCTTGGTCTGCTCCACCGTGGCCTGCTTGTAGCGGTCAGTAGGCGCCAGCACCACGGCGGGCTTCGGAGGCGGCTCGGGCGGCTTGGCCAACTCCGCCT